CATGAAAACATGAGGTTGCTACAGCAGGCGAAGACGGAGGTGGAGCAGAGCCTGGAGGCAATGACGTCGGAGCGCGATGAGCTGCAGGAGAATTTGTTGTCATTGAAAAAGGATTACGACTTTGTTGTTACATCGTGTGCAAGGTTGCGTGTGGATATGTCATTAGCTGATTTGGAACATCAGGACGAGTTGGCAAGGCTTCGAATTGACAATGATGCTTTTGCTGCCGAGTTACGTAGGGCTCTTGGGAAATTGAATGCATCGGAGGTGCGGCTGAAGTACTTGCGTTCATTATGTAAGTCGGCGGGATTGGGTGGCTCGGCGGAGAGTGGCGAGGACTATCAAGTTACCCGTTCCGTGCTGGCGATGAGAAAGACTTGATCTAAGTAGTGCGCTAGTGTGCTTGTTGCCCTCTTATTTATTTATTTATTTATTTATTGTATTTTGTAATTTTGGTGGGCTTGTTTTCTTACCATTGCTTTTTTTTTTTTTTTCTTTTTGTTGTGCGTATATATATATATATATATATATTGGTGTCGAGTGGCAGGGCTGGTGTAGTTGAGTGTGGTTCTGCTTCTACAAGTAATGTTTCCACTGGAAATAAAGGGCCGAAGGAACTCCCAATGGCGGGGTACAGCATTATTATTATTATTAATTGTCCTTTCCACCGTATGTTGTCTTTCTCTCTCTCTCTCTCTCTCTCTCTCTCTCTCTCTCTCTCTCTCTCTCTCTCTCTCTCTCTCTCTTTGTCTTGTGTGTGTACACATGTGTGGTGTGGGGAAACTTTGAAAGAGACGGAGGAATTTCATGCATGACATTTTATTGCACTGCTTTTATTTATTTATTTATTTTTTTTTTTTGATTTTTTTCCTTATTTTTAAATAAATAAATAAATAAATAAATAAATACATTTGGAACGATGGATGCGGTGATATATCTATATCTACCTACCTATCTACCTATTTATCTATCTATCTATATTTATTTATTTATTGCTTGGAGTTATTTTGCGTGGGTTGTTGGACGTTTGAGCGTGTAATAATTACATGGAGTTTATTTCTTTGAATGTCTTTTTTCCTCCGTTGACAATTTATTTTTACACACATGAAAACTAATTTTTTTTTTTTTTTTTTGTAGATGCATGTAGATGTGTATGTGTGGACGCCTTGACGGGATGGCTGGTGGGAGTGCGGAGTGTACATGGCCCAGTGAGGGGGAGGGGAGATGACGGTTTTTTTTTTTGTTTTTTGTTTGTTTGTTTGTGTGTGTTGCATCACCGTCGCTGTTGAGGGGTGTGTGACGTGCGGCTCCATGCGTCGTTTCCTTATTGCTCGGTCATGGGCAGCATCCTTCTGCAGATGCTGAGGCATTGATGCCTGTGTTGGTTTGTAGACATGAATGTTTCCGTATTCCCACGTCTTTTCTCCTTTGCCTTCTTTTTTTTTTTTTTTTTTCCATTTTTGCCGAACGAGCGTGTTTTTATTTGTTATTTGTTATTTTTATATCACAAAAATAAATGAGCGGCGTGACGACAGTTTGAATGATTTATTATATTTCTTTTGTTAATTATTTGTGCATGCATGCACTTACCCTTTCTTTTTCTTTTTCTTTTTATTTGTTCTTTTCTTCCTCATTCCTATTTCTATTTTTTTTTTTTTCCTTGTGTTTTTCTCACTTTGCCTACCTGGGCCTTGTGTTCATTTAGGCTTCTTCGTTTAAATAAAGAAATCAGTTGTTTTTTTTTTCTTTTTTTGATTGCCACTGGAAAGTTTTGTTCTTGTTTGTGTGTGTGTGTGTGCGTGAGTAGGTCCCTCGCCGACGCGTCACTGCAACTGGCGGGCAGATCACGTGGACGCACAAACAGAGGCACGCGAGGCTTTAATAAGTGAGAGTTAGAGTACACGAATTCATTCACGAGACACAGAGCGAGAGAGAGAGAAAGGGGGGCGGACGTTGCACCACCACACGTAGAGGTGCTTAGAGTTTAGGCGCGGGTTTTTCGAGGCGAGGCCGCGATAAAAAAAAAAAAAAAGGTGGGGGGAGGACGGGGATAAATTCCATACACCCCCTTACACCCTCCGCCAAAGAAGGAATAAGGAAAAGGATATACTTGAAATCCTCCGCTTACAAAAAGGGAGGAGGATACGCTCTTTTGTTTTTGTAGTTTGCTGCTCGCTCGCAGAATTTTTTCCTTTGTCTGCCTGTGTGTGTGTGCATAGGCAGCTTAACGAGGGGAACGGGCAAACCGAGGGCGAGGGAGGGGGAATATTACCATCGCTCGGCTCAAAAACAAAAGTACCAGCGGGTAAAAAAACGAGGGCAAATAAAAAATACCTAAAACGAGGATTGACGGCATGAGCTCCAGGACAAAGACAACGCCACGTCCGCGGAATACGGTGGCAGCGCTGACTCCGATGGATGACGAGTCAAATATAGGAGAGTCGGAGAGTGTTAAGGTGTCAGTGCGGGTGCGCCCATTCGACTCACGGGAAACAAGCGCTTCCCTGATCAGCGTGTTGGCAATGAATTCAAAGAACAGGACTGTCACAATATTCAATTCGTTGCAAAAAGAGAACAACGTGATAA